AGAGAGAGAGAGAGAGAAGAGAGAGTGTGAGGAGAGAGAGGAGGAGAGAGAGAAGAGAGAGTGTGAGGGAGAGAGTAGGAGGAGAGACAGAAAGAGAGAGTGTGAGGGAGAGAGTAGGAAGAGAGAGAGAAAGAGAGAATGTGAGGGAGAGAGTAGGAGGAGAGAGAGAAAGAGAGAGTGTGAGGGAGAGAGTAGAAAGAGAGAGAAAGAGAGAGGGGAAGAGAGAGTGAGAGAGAGTGAATGAAGGAGAAAGAGCGAGCGATAAAAAGAGAGGAGTTGTAGACAGAATGAGAAGGAGACAGAGAGAAATCTATAGCACATGTGAGAAAGAGAGGATGACAGAGAAAGTGAGCGTGAGAAATGAGGAGAAAGAGCATTCGTGAGAGCTAAATTAAGATAAAGCGAAGAAAGAGACAGATACAGAGAAGAAATTAGAGAGCGCGGGAGAAAGCGAAAGAGATAGTGAATGAGATAGCGGGGAGCGAGCGAGAGAGATAGAGAGAGCGCGAGAAAGAAAGACAGAAAGAGCGCGCGAGAGAGAGAGCGAAAGACAGCAAGGCAACTGGAGTAAGAGCGAGAGAGAAAGAGAAAGAAAGCTGGACAAATCGAGTAAGAGAGAGAGATAGAGAGAGAGAGAGAGAGAGAGCGAGTCAAATCGAGTAAGAGAGAGAGAGAGAGAGAAAGAAAGAGAGAGAGAGAGAGAGAGAGAGCGAGACAAATCGAGTAAGAGAGAGAGAGAGAGCTAGAGCAAGTCAAATAAAATAAGAGAGAGAGAGCTAGACTCAGGTATAGAGTCTGACGTCGCTACCTGTACTTCATGTAGCGTTCATCCCGGGCCCCATCCTCGCTGGCTCGCTCGTGGACGCGGCCTGCACGCTGTGGGAGCACAACTCATGTGAGGGGCGCGGTGCCTGCCTGCTCTACGATCACAGGTAAGCATCCGCATACACCTGTATACACCTGTAGACACCTGTAGACACCTGTATACACATGTAGACATGATATACCTGGTGATATACCTGGTGACATACCTGGTGACATACCTGGTGACATACAATACCTGGTGACATACCTGGTGACATACCTGGTGACATACTTGGTGACATATCTGGTGATATACCTGGTGACATACCTGGTGACATACCTGGTGATATACCTGGTGATATACCTGGTGACATACCTGGTGATATACCTGGTGACATACCTGGTGATATACCTGGTGACATACCTGGGACATACTTGGTGACATACCTGGTGACATACCTGGTGATATGCCTGGTGACATACCTGGTGAAATATCTAGTGTAATATCTGGTGAAATATCTAGTGGGATGTCTGGTGAAATATCTAGTGGGATGTCTGGTGAAATATCTAGTGAGATGTCTAGTAAAATATATAATGAGATGTCTGGTGACATACCAAATCAGATGGCTGTTTAATACATCTGTCTGTAATGCGTTTTATTATATATCCTAAGATATTAGGAATTAAACTAGTTTACATCAATTTATATAGAGATACCTCGGAAATCAATATTCCCTAAGAGCACTGATTTTCACGGTCCACAAAACTCTCGATATTGCCCTCGCAATCAGGCAGTATTTTGATCATATATATCAGGATGTAACATAAACAAATCATTCTTACTTTTGATTATTCTTATATATATATACATAATTAAATTTATATACATATATATATATATATATATATAATAATAATAATTATGTAACAACAAATGAATGGATGCCGTAGTGACCCCTTGTTTCCCCCGTGACCTCTAACAGGAAGTTCCGGCTGACCATCCACGGCCTGGTCACCGTCGTGAAGCTGGGTTCCTGTTTGCTCTATCTCACCGCCTTCTGTCTCTGCCGCACCCCCGTGCAAGAATCACGCCGAAAACCACCGCCAGATGGCGCCGCGGACGACGTCGACGACGATGCGACCTGAGTCGCTTTCTACCGCCGGCGACAACGACGACGTCGATGGTGCTGCCCCCTGGTGGCGCGCGCGTGCGTTATTCCTCGGTCGCGTGTGGGAAGTCTACGGTCGCGCCTCCCCGCGGACGTGTTAACGAGGCGACTAGCGCCACCTGGTGTCGACTGGCGCCATAACCGCGTGGCCGACGGCGGGAGAGCGTGAGAGCGACGGCAAGCTATAGCGCTAATCGCTGCAATGCGGCTTTGACGTGATAGGAAGCCCATAAATTCACATGCGTCTGCTGTACTGTGATTGTGTCGCTTTGACCTGGCCGGTCCGCTCAGCTCGGAGTCCGTAGGCGTCGCGTCATCCTTGCCGATTCTAATACTGGCGTGCCGGTCCTTGTCTGTCACCTATTGCCGGTTCCAATACTTCTCTTCACACAATCACGTTGATCACGAGTCCGTTGGTAATGCTACTACTACCTTACTACTTGGCGCAAAGGCGTCAGGACAGAATGGACGAAAAACAGCGTAGCCGTGGCGATGCAGACTACGTGGCCTGCGTATAAATACGTATAAATACGTATAAATACGTATAAATACGTATAAATACGTATAAATACGTATAAATACGTGCAAATACGTGCAAATCGTTTGTTCAATTGCATGTGTCCATGGTTTTGTTGAATAAATTTTCCCATTGCATCTATACGTACATCTGCGCAATAGATTGCTCAATTGCATTTATACGTACATTCGTGACAGATGGGTAGGATGTCTTGCAGCTGCGCGTGCAACGCGAAACACGCGCGCTGTATTATTGTACATGCATACTGTTATAGTACACGGTATTATGTACATTTACACTATTATAGTACACGATATATTATGTACATTTACACTGTTATAGTATGCGGTATTACTGTACATGTAAATTATTATAATATTGTGTATAATCAAGGGTACATAATAGGATGTATAGGATCTATAGGATGTATAGGATCTATAGGATCTATAGGATCTATATAGGATGTATAGGATCTTCTATTATGTACTCTTGGTATAATGTGCATCTACACTGTTATCGTATACTGCATTATTGGACATCTACACTGTTATCGTATACTGCATTATTGTTGTTATACATTATTATATTACACAATATGCGTGTGAATGTACACCGGTATAGTACACAGTGTTATTGTATATGTATACTTTTGTAGTACACGATGTTACTTTATTACTATATGTTTGCTGTGGTACATTGACGAGACATCAAGAGGTTGGCAATTGACATCTTCAAGACATGCATTGAGGATCACATATTCTGTAGAAAAGTAAGTGCATTACGTACACCAGGCGTACTGCTACTGATGCAGGAAAGCGCGATCTCTTGCCCTACCTAACCTCGCTAACAATGACGACGATGATCAAGACGACGACGATGATGATGACGATGACAATGACGATGTTGATGATGATGATGATGAGGAGGAGGAGGAGGATGTTGATGATGATGATGATGATGATGGTAATGATGATGATGATGCTTATGACGACGACGACGCCGGTGACGACAATGATGACGGTGACGACGATGACAACGATGACGACGATGCTGACTACAATAATCTCGACGATAATGACAGCGATGACTACAATTACGACGTGAACGTCGACGACGATGACGATGATGACGTCGTAAATGCATTACACTATAACGTCACTGAACTATAACAAATTGTTATAGTTCAGTGTATGACGTATCCAATAAGCTGCGAGGCCCCCTCCTGACTATAATGTTACATTAGCATAATATGTAAATCCTATTTACTATTGGTATATGTTGTTAGTTAATGTTAAATCGTTAAAGACAGTGCGAATAAATTTATTTACGTTTAACCTAATTGCTTTTGTTTGGTTATAATGGTTAGCACTACTAACTAATAACTAACGTATCTGTCTATCTCTTCTCTCCTCTTTCCTTGTTCCTCTTCCCCCTCTCTCTTTCTCTCTCTCTCTCTCTCTTTCTCTCTCTCTCTCGCTCTCTCTTTCTCTCGCCCCCCTTTCTCTCTCTCTTTCTCTCTCTCTCTCTCTCTTTCTCTCTCTCTCTCGCTCTCTCACTCTCTTCACTCTCTCTCTCACTCTCTTCTCTCTCTCTCTCTCTCTTCTCTCTCTCTCGTCTCTCCCATCTCTCTTCTCTCTCTTGTGTTTCTATCTCCTATTATCATCTGTCTGTCTGCTCTGCCTGTTCGTCCGTTCCGTCCGTCGTCCGTCCGTCCGTCCGTCGTCCGTCGCGTCCGTCCGTCTGTCTATCTATAGCTATCTATCTATCGTAATCTATTCTATATCTATCTAATCTATTATCTATCTATCTATCTATCTATTATCTATTATCTATCTATCTATTTTCTATCTATCTATCTATCTATCTATCTATCTTATCTATCTAATCTATCTATTGATTACCTATCTATCTATCATATCTATCGATCTAATCTATCTATTTCTATCTATTATCTATCTATCTTTATTATCTATTATCTATCTATCTATCTATTATCTCATCTATCTATCTATCTATCTATCTATCTATCTATCACTATCTATCTATCTCATCTTATCTATCTACTATATCTATCTATTATCTATCTATCTATCTATCTATCTATTCTATCTTTATCTATCATCTATCTATTATCTATTATTATCTATCTATCTATTATCTATCTATCTATCTATCTATCTATCTTAGCTATCTATCTATCTATCATTCTATCTATCTATCTACTATCTATCTATCTATCTATCTATCTATCGTATCACTTATCTAGTCTATCTTATCTAATCTCTATCTATCTATCTATCATATCTATCTATCATATGCTTATCTATCTATCTATCTATCTATCTAATCTATCTATATCTATTATCATCTATCTATCGTATCTAATCATTCTATATCTATTATTCTAGCTATCTATCTATTCTATCTATCTACTACTAATCTCTCTCATCATATCTATCTATCTCATCTATCTTATCTATCTATTTCTATCTATCTATCTATTCTATCCTTATTATCTATCTATCTATCTATCTATCTATCGATCTATCTATCTTCTATCTATCTATCGTAAATCTATCTATCTAATCTATCATATTCTTCTATCTATCTTATCTATCTAATCTATCTATCTATTAATCTATCTTATCTATCTTTAGTCTATCTTTATCTATCTACTATCTTTATCAGCCTATCTATGCTATCTATCTATCTATCTGATCTTATCTATCTATCTATCTATCTTTATCTATCTATCTATTGATCTATTCTACTATCCATCTATCTATCTATCTATCTTGATCTATCTATCATATCTATCTATCGTATATCTATCTATCTATCTATCTAGTCTATCTATCTATATATATCAGATCTATCTATCTATACTATTCTATCTATCATCTATCTATCTATCTATCTATCTTATCTATCTATCTATCTATCTATCTATCTATAGTATCTATCTATCTATGCTATTCTATATCTATCTATCTATCTATCTATCATCTATTGCTATCTATCTATTATCTATCTATCTATCTGTTATCTATCTATCATTATCTATCTATCTATCTATTCTATCTATCTATTTATATCTATCTATTTCTATTTTTCTATCTATATCTATCTATCTATCTATCTATCTATCTATCTATCTCTATCTATCTACTATCTATTCTATCTATGCTATTATCTGATTCTATCATATCTAGTCTACTCTTATCATATCTATCTATATCTATTATCTATCTATCTATCTATCTATTTATCTATTATGCTTATCTATCTCTATCTATCTATCTATTATCTTCTATCTATCTATCCTATCTATCCATATTATCTACTATTATCTATCTATCTATCTATCTTTACTATCTATCTCTATATCTATTCTATCTATCTTCATCATAACCTATTATCATATCTATCTATCTATATCTATTCTATCTATCTATCTATCTATCTATCTATCGTATCTATCTATCTATCACATCTATCTATCTTATCCTAATTTCCAATATCTATCTATCTATCTTATCTATCTATCTATCTATCTATCTTTTATCTTTATCTATCTATCTATCTATCTATCCTATGCTACTCTATCTATTATCTATTATCTATCTATCTATCTTTATCTATCTATTATCTTATCTATATATCTATCTATCTATCGTATCTATCTATCTATCGTATCAATCTATTCTATCTATCTATCTAATCTATCTATCTATCTATCTATCTATCTATCTATGATCTATCTATCTATCTATCATATCTATTCTATCTATCTATCTATTAATCTATCTATACTAATCTAATATCTATCTATCTATCTATCTATCTATCTATATCTATCTATCTATTTATCTATCATATCTTATCTATGTATCTACTCTATCTATTCATATCAATCTACTCTATCTATCTATCTATCTATCTACTCTATCTATCTATCTATGCTATCTATCTAGTCTATCTAATCTATCTATCTAGTACTATCTATCTTATCCTAGTTATCTATATATCTACTATCTATCTATCTATGTCATCTATCTAGTATCTATCTATCTGATCTATCTTCTATCTATCTATCTATCTATCTATCTTATATCTATCTTTATATCGCTATTCTATCTATCTATCTATCTATCTATCTATCTATCTATTATCTATCTATCTATCATCTATCTGATCTAAGTCTATTTGATCTTATCTATCTATCTATCTATCTATCTATCTATCTATCTAGTCTATCTATCTATCTATCTATCTATCTATTATCTTTATCTATCTAGTACTATCTACTATCTATCTTATTCTATCTATCTATCTATTCTATCTAGCTTCGACTAATCTTATCTATCTATCTTATCTATCTATTATCTATCTACTATCTATCTTATCTATCTATCTATATCTATCTATCTATCTATCTTCTGTATCTATCTATCTATCTATCTATCTATCTATCTATCAGTTATCTATCGTAGATCTATACTACATACTATTATCTATCTATTCGGTCTATCTATCTATCTATCTATCTATCTATCTATCCTAGTCTATCTAATCTATCTATCTATCTATCTATATATCTATCTTATCTCATCTATTCTATCTATCTATCTATCTATCCATTCTCTATCTATCGATCTATCTATCTATTATTCTATCTATCTATCTATCTATTCTATCTATCTATATCTATCATATCTATCTATATCGTATCTATATCTGATCTATCTATCTATCTTTATCTATCTATCTATTCTGATCTATCTATCTATCTATTATCTATTCTATACTATCTATCTATCTATCTATCTATCCTTGTATTCTATTATCTATCTATCTTTATCTATACTATCATCGTATCTTATCTATCTATCTAGTATCTATCATATCTAGTCTATCTATCGTATCTATCTATCTGATCTATCTATATATCTATCTATCTGATCTATCTATTATCTATCTGATCTATCTATCTATCTATCTATCCTATTATCTATCTATCTATCTAATCTATCTAATCTAT